ATTTATTGTTAAAGTCAACTTCTGTCTTAAGGCCATCGACGCAGCGCTGGACACCGGTGCCTCACTTTCAGTAGTTCATACAAATATAATTTCTGATGTCTTGTGACATTCTCATAAGGTTCAACATTGGGCTTTTCCCCCACTTCAGCTTGCCTACAGTGCAGCTTGCACTCCGACTGGTGTTGTCTGGTTAAACTTTGGCCTCCAGGGAAAAAGTTTCTACCATCGGTTTGTCATTATCCCTGATCTTTCCTCTCCCCTCATCTTGGAATTTGGGATGGAATTTATGCTACGAGCGTCGGTTAGCATTCATATCCCATCAAGGACAGTGACCCTGGTTGAATCTACACCCCAAGAGGTTTTGAGTGAGTGGTTGGAGGCACCTGAGCTTGAGAGCTTGATGTTCTTGGATGTCTGCCAGTCTGTTCTTGGATGAGAAAGTTGAGATGGCTTGTTTGAAAAGGGAACAAAAAGGTGAGCCTTTAAAGACTTTTGGAGCTTGTTTGACGGACACCTTGGGTACACCTCATCGGGGGAGCACGTAATCAACACGGGTGATGCGAAACCAGTTCATCTCCCGGCTCCCGCCATACCGGACCTCACCAGCTAATAAACGAATCATCGCAGATCAGATTCAGATGATGCTGGAAGGGAACATCATCGAACCTTCTTCCAGTCCTTGGCTGCACCTGTAGTAATTGTCAAGAAGCCATGTGGAGACCAAAGGTTTTGCGTAGACTACAGAGGTCTTAGTCACCTGACAATTAAGGATTCGTACCCACTGCTCACTCCGGATGGTATTTCTCCTGATCTGAGAAAGGTGGAAGCGGTTCAGAACATCGAAACAAGTGAGAGGATTTCTCGGCCTCACAAGCTAGTACAGACGATTCAATCCAAATTTTGCACAAAAAGCCAAGCCACTTTTAAAATTCACCAGAAAGGAAACCCTGGGATAACAGTTGTCAGGCTTCGATGGATTACTGGAAAAAATGTCTTGCGTTTTAACCCATTTTTCATCCACACTGACGCTTATGTCTTGGGCCTTGATCTGGCCTTGATGCAGAAGAATGAAATAGGGCGAGATGTGGTTGTAGCTTTCGCGAGCAGGATGTTCAAAGTGGAAAGACCGTACTCAAAAACAGAGAAAGAGTTTTTGGAAGTGATTTGGGCTCTGGAACATTTCAGACCTTACATCGAGGGCCTTCATGTAACCATTTTCACTGACCACAACAGCCTGAGGTGGCTGATGAACCGCCCCAATCCCTCTGGACGACTTGCGAGATGGTCCATGTGCCTACAGGATTTAGATTTTAACATCGTCCACAGGCCGGGTGTTCAGAATAAAGTTCAAGGCGCTCTATCATGCAACCCACTGCCGCATTGCTAGGGCCTTATTGACATTCTTTCCTCGGTCACAATCGCAGAAAGGGCACAGTTGAGGCAGTTACACTGGTGACCCAGTGGTTGGCGGTCTTCTTCGAATCCTTGAAGAGTGCGGTACAGACGAAGAACATGTCATTAATGATGGTGTGCTTTATTTCAGGGACCCTGAGATAACCTGCATTCTCCACCCAATGAAGCAGCTCAAGTTATATGTCCCAACAGTAATTCGATCCACTGTACTCAAATATTATCCTCCCATCCTACAGCTGGCCACCTGGGTGTGACAAAAACACTGGCCAGGCTGAAACAAAGGTTCTTTTGGCCCAAAATGGCGACAGATGTGAAAATATACGTTATATCGTGTCCTGTGTGCCAGTTGACAAAGCCGAGCCAAAGAAAGCCAGCAGGCCTGATGGTTCCCATCAAACCAATGAAACACTGGGAATACACAGGAGTATATTGTGTGGGTCCGCTTCCTCATACTCGTTGACTACTTTTCAAAATGGGTAGAAATGAGTGCAGTGGCGAGTAAGTTTCTGAGAGAGATATTTGACCTCATGTCAGATCGTGGGACCCCGTTTGTGAGCAATGTTTTTGAGCATGTGGTTTTTGCCCTTGGCACTGGACACAAGCGGACGCCCTGAGAGGGTAAACCACACACTTACACGGCCATACATGCACAGGTGGAGGACAAGCACACTCCGTGGGATAAGCATCTTCCACACATCTGTTTCGCTCTTCGAACTGCTTGCCATGAGAGCACAGCTCAATCTCCAGCAATGTTGTTATATGGCCGTGAATTGGAGTTGCTTGATTTGATATCACAACCAGATACTGCGGGAGTAGATGATCCTGAGGGACCGTATCCTGAGAGTTTGAGAGCTTCCCTGCAGAATACTCACGAACCTCAAGAGCTGCGTAAGTGTGAGCCATACAAGAAAGAAATGGTACTATGACAAGAAGCGATGAACGGTGTCCTATGCTGTGGATGACTTGGTCTTGGAGTTAAGACCCACCCCAAATCTGATGCTGATGCAAGCTTTACAGCCCCAGTTGGCCCCAGTTTATGCCGGACCATTTCGTGTTTCTAAGAAACTGTCGATTACAGACTTTCCAACACTGAGAATGGAGAAGATGCTGGCATGTTTCATGTAGTGAATCTGCAGCCGTTTCATTCATGGGACACGGCCATGCCCACAACCAGTTCCTATGGTGAGATGTTGAGTCGTCTCCACTTTTGGATGAGGACTTTGATGCCCGAACAGACAGAGAGGAATCTGTTAATGCTGCCAGAGGGTTGATGCTGACTACTCAAACAAACATTTGAATCGACACTGTCCTGAACACTCACTTGACCTTGCTCCTGACAGTGACTTGACATCTGAGGCCGAATGACAGACGAATGTTGCTTAAAAGTGTTAATTGTTATTGTTCTTGCATGTTCATTGTTCTCATTTAAAATTGAGTGTTTCATTTTTTGTGTTGTGGTCATACTTTTCTTAAGTGTTACTGAACTAATGTCGCTGTGCAAGCATGTATGCTTGTCCTGTCTGTACAGACCTATACACCATTCTGACTTGTTAACATTTACATGTAGAAGTGCAAATATGTTGGCTCGTAAATTGTATGTCGATTGGGTGATTCAAGAAATACAATCATAATGGTCTTAAATGATCCGACATTAAGTGGGACAAGCTATTCCTCCGGGTTCTGGAAGCACTGGAACTCAAGTTTGTATGTTCCTAAATAATGTTTGTTGTATGTAAATCTATGGTTGTATGTTATTCTTTTCCTTCTGTTTCTTTTGCTCTGTGGTGTGGACCTAAGGGTCTGGAGTACAGAACTCCCACTGAGCGATCGGACACGACGTGTCACTCTGTGTCTATGGAAGAGCGCTTTACATGATAAGTGTTAGACTTCCGTGTGTGTGTGTGTGTGTGTGTGTAGGTTTGGGTGTCGCCACTCTGTGTGTGGGTCTGCTGGTCCGTGTGTTGGTGACGTTCTGTGTGGTTCTGTTTGCTGGTTTTAATATAAAGGAGAAGATCTTCATATCTCTGGCCTGGATGCCCAAAGCTACAGTACAAGTGAGCCTTGATGAAAACTTTATTGAAATCTTCTTTTCTTTGCTCTATTTACAGAGAACTTATCGACATGTTTTTGAATCCATCATCCAAACAGGAAATTACATCATTGCTTCCATCTGTTGCACTATCCTGCGTGTTTGTGTGTGTGTGCGTGTGTGTGTGTGTGTGTGTGTGTGTGCGTATGCGTGCGTCTGCGTGCGTGTGTGTGTGCGCTTGTGCGCGCGTGTGTGTGTGTGCGTGCGTGCGTGTGTGTGTGTGTGTGTGTCTGTGTGCGTGCGTGTGTGTGTGTGTGTGTGTGTGTGTGTGTTCAGGCAGCTCTGGGCTCCACGGCGTTGGATATGGCCCGCAGTGCTGGAGACGAGCAGCTTCAGAAATATGGCATGGATGTTCTGACGGTGGCGGTTCTTGCGATTCTCTTCACGGCGCCGGTTGGAGCGCTTGCCATCGGCCTGACCGGACCCAAACTACTGCAGCGGAACACACACACACGGGGTGAGCTACACACACACTGCAGAACACACACACACACACGGGGTGAGCTACACACACACTGCAGAACACACACACACACACGGGGTGAGCTATACACACACTGCAGAACACACACACGGGGTGAGCTAGAGTTACGTAGAGTTAAGCAGAGTTAAGTAGAGTTACGTAGAGTTAAGTAGAGTTAAGTACAGTTACGTAGAGTTAAGTAGAGTTAAGTAGAGTTAAGTAGAGTTACGTAGAGTTACGTAGAGTTAAGTAGAGTTACGTAGAGTTACGTAGAGTTAAGTAGAGTTACGTAGAGTTACGTAGAGTTAAGTAGAGTTAAGTAAAGTTACGTAGAGTTACGTAGAGTTACGTAGAGTTAAGTAGAGTTAAGTAGAGTTAAATAGAGTTACATAGAGTTACAGTTAAGTAGAGTTAAGTAGAGTTAAGTAGTTAAGTAGAGTTACGTAGAGGTTACGTAGAGTTACGTAGAGTTACGTAGAGTTACGTAGAGTTAAGTAGAGTTAAGTAGAGTTACGTAGAGTTACGTAGAGTTAAGTAGAGTTAAGTAGAGTTACGTAGAGTTACAGTTAAGTAGAGTTACGTAGAGTTACGTAGAGTTAAATAGTTACGTAGAGTTAAGTAGAGTTAAGTAGAGTTAAGTAGAGTTACGTAGTTAAGTAGAGTTACGTAGAGTTACGTAGTTAAGTAGAGTTACGTAGAGTTACGTAGAGTTACGTAGAGTTACGTAGAGTTACGTAGAGTTACGTAGAGTTACGTAGAGTTACGTAGAGTTAAATAGTTACGTAGAGTTATGTAGAGTTACGTAGAGTTAAGTAGAGTTAAGTAGAGTTAAGTAGAGTTAAGTAGAGTTAAGTAGATTTAAGTAGAGTTACGTAGAGTTATGTAGAGTTAAGTAGAGTTACGTAGAGTTAAGTAGAGTTACGTAGAGTTACGTAGAGTTACGTAGAGTTACGTAGAGTTACGTAGAGTTACGTAGAGTTAAGTAGAGTTAAGTAAAGTTAAGTAAAGTTACGTAGAGTTACGTAGAGTTACGTAGAGTTAAGTAGAGTTAAATAGAGTTACATAGAGTTACATAGAGTTACAGTTAAGTAGAGTTAAGTAGAGTTAAGTAGTTAAGTAGAGTTACGTAGAGGTTACGTAGAGTTACGTAGAGTTACGTAGAGTTACGTAGAGTTAAGTAGAGTTAAGTAGAGTTACGTAGAGTTACGTAGAGTTACGTAGAGTTAAGTAGAGTTAAGTAGAGTTAAGTAGAGTTAAGTAGAGTTACGTAGAGTTACGTAGAGTTACAGTTAAGTAGAGTTACGTAGAGTTACATAGTTATGTAGAGTTACGTAGAGTTACGTAGAGTTACGTAGAGTTACGTAGAGTTACGTAGAGTTAAGTAGAGTTAAGTAGAGTTACGTAGTTAAGTAGAGTTACGTAGAATTACGTAGAGTTACGTAGAGTTAAGTAAAGTTACGTAGAGTTAAGTAGAGTTAAGTAGAGTTACGTAGTTAAGTAGAGTTACGTAGAATTACGTAGAGTTACGTAGTTAAGTAGAGTTACGTAGAGTTACGTAGAGTTACGTAGAGTTACGTAGAGTTACGTAGAGTTACGTAGAGTTACGTAGAGTTACGTAGAGTTAAATAGTTACGTAGAGTTACGTAGAGGTTAGTAGAGTTAAGTAGAGTTAAGTAGAGTTAAGTAGAGTTAAGTAGAGTTAAGTAGAGTTACGTAGAGTTAAGTAGAGTTACGTAGAGTTACGTAGAGTTAAGTAGAGTTACGGAGTTACGTAGAGTTACGTAGAGTTACGTAGAGTTACGTAGTTAAGTAGAGTTACGTAGAGTTACGTAGAGTCAAATAGAGTTACGTAGAGTTACGTAGAGTTACAGTTAAGTAGAGTTAAGTAGAGTTAAGTAGAGTTAAGTAGAGTTAAGTAGAGTTAAGTAGAGTTACGTAGAGTTACGTAGAGTTAAGTAGAGTTAAGTAGAGTTACGTAGAGTTACGTAGAGTTAAGTAGTTACGTAGTTAAGTAGAGTTAAGTAGAGTTACGTAGATTTACGTAGAGTTAAGTAGAGTTAAGTAGAGTTAAGTAGAGTTAAGTAGAGTTACGTAGAGTTAAGTAGAGTTACGTAGAGTTAAATAGAGTTACATAGAGTTACATAGAGTTACAGTTAAGTAGAGTTAAGTAGAGTTAAGTAGTTAAGTAGAGTTACGTAGAGGTTACGTAGAGTTACGTAGAGTTACGTAGAGTTAAGTAGAGTTAAGTAGAGTTAAGTAGAGTTACGTAGAGTTACGTAGAGTTACGTAGAGTTAAGTAGAGTTAAGTAGAGTTACGTAGAGTTACAGTTAAGTAGAGTTACGTAGAGTTAAATAGTTACGTAGAGTTACGTAGAGTTACGTAGAGTTACGTAGAGTTACGTAGAGTTAAGTAAAGTTACGTAGAGTTAAGTAGAGTTAAGTAGAGTTAAGTAGAGTTACGTAGTTAAGTAGAGTTACGTAGAATTACGTAGAGTTACGTAGAGTTAAGTAAAGTTACGTAGAGTTAAGTAGAGTTAAGTAGAGTTACGTAGTTAAGTAGAGTTACGTAGAATTACGTAGAGTTACGTAGTTAAGTAGAGTTACGTAGAGTTAAGCAGAGTTACGTAGAGTTACGTAGAGTTACGTAGAGTTACCTAGAGTTACGTAGAGTTACGTAGAGTTAAATACTTACGTAGAGTTACGTAGAGGTTAGTAGAGTTAAGTAGAGTTAAGTAGAGTTAAGTAGAGTTAAGTAGAGTTACGTAGAGTTACGTAGAGTTAAGTAGAGTTACGTAGAGTTACGTAGAGTTAAGTAGAGTTACGGAGTTACGTAGAGTTACGTAGAGTTACGTAGAGTTACGTAGAGTTACGTAGTTAAGTAGAGTTACGTAGAGTTACGTAGAGTCAAATAGAGTTACGTAGAGTTACGTAGAGTTACAGTTAAGTAGAGTTAAGTAGAGTTAAGTAGAGTTAAGTAGAGTTAAGTAGAGTTACGTAGAGTTAATTAGAGTTACGTAGAGTTACGTAGAGTTACATAGAGTTAAGTAGTTACGTAGTTAAGTAGAGTTAAGTAGAGTTAAGTAGAGTTACGTAGATTTACGTAGAGTTAAGTAGAGTTAAGTAGAGTTACGTAGAGTTAAGTAGAGTTACGTAGAGTTACGTAGAGTTAGGTAGAGTTAAGTAGTTAAGTAGAGTTAAGTAGAGTTAAGTAGAGTTACATAGAGTTACGTAGAGTTACGTAGAGTTACGTAGAGTTACGTAGAGTTACGTAGAGTTAAGTAGAGTTAAGTAGTTACGTAGTTAAGTAGAGTTAAGTAGAGTTAAGTAGAGTTACGTAGATTTACGTAGAGTTAAGTAGAGTTAAGTAGAGTTACGTAGAGTTAAGTAGAGTTACGTAGAGTTACGTAGAGTTACGTAGAGTTACGTAGAGTTAAGTAGTTAAGTAGAGTTAAGTAGAGTTACGTAGAGTTACGTAGAGTTACGTAGAGTTAAGTAGAGTTAAGTAGAGTTACGTAGTTAAGTAGAGTTACGTAGA